GGGTTACAAGCACGTGAATTTGTCCAACGATCACGGGTGTGTAGCTCAGTGGTAGAGCGGCTGACTGCAGATCAGCAGCTCCTCGGTTCAAATCCGGGCGCGCCCTGTATCAATATCGTCAAACATCTGTTCCAACCATCCTGTGGCCTGTCAGGGGTTACAAGCACGTGAATGTGAGCAACGATCACGGGTGTGTAGCTCAGTGGTAGAGCGGCTGACTGCAGATCAGCAGGTCCTCGGTTCAAATCCGGGCGCGCCCTGTATCAATATCGTCAAACATCTGTTCCAACCATCCTGTGGCTTGGCTGGGGTTACAAGCACGTGAATTTTCGCAACGATCACGGGTGTGTAGCTCAGTGGTAGAGCGGCTGACTGCAGATCAGCAGGTCCTTGGTTCAAATCCGGGCGCGCCCTGTATCAATATCGTCAAACATCTGTTCCAACCATCCTGTGGCTTGGCTGGGGTTACAAGCACGTGAATTTTCGCAAAGATCACGGGTGTGTAGCTCAGTGGTAGAACGGCTGACTGCAGATCAGCAGGTCCTCGGTTCAAATCCGGGCGCGCCCTGTATAAATATCGTCAAACATCTGTTCCATCCATCCTGTGGCTTGGCTGGGGTTACAAGCACGTGAATTTTCGCAAAGATCACGGGTGTGTAGCTCAGTGGTAGAGCGGCTGACTGCAGATCAGCAGGTCCTCGGTTCAAATCCGGGCGCGCCCTGTATCAATATCGTCAAACATCTGTTCCAACCATCCTGTGGCCTGCCAGGGGTTACAAGCACGTGAATTTGCGCAACGATCACGGGTGTGTAGCTCAGTGGTAGAGCGGCTGACTGCAGATCAGCAGGTCCTCGGTTCAAATTCGGGCGCGCCCTGTATCAATATCGTCAAACATCTGTTAAAACCATTCTGTGGCTTGGCTGGGGTTACAAGCACGTGAATTTCCGCAACCATCACGGGTGTGTAGCTCAGTGGTAGAGCGGCTGACTGCAGATCAGCAGGTCCTTGGTTCAAATCCGGGTGCGCCCTGTATCAATATGGTCAAACATCTGTTCCAACCATCCTGTGGCTTGGCTGGGGTTACAAGCACGTGAATTTTCACAACGATCACGGGTGTGTAGCTCAGTGGTAGAGCGGCTGACTGCAGATCAGCAGGTCCTCGGTTCAAATCCGGGCGCGCCCTGTATCAATATCGTCAAACATCTGTTCCAACCATCCTGTGGCTTGGCTGGGGTTACAAGCACGTGAATTTTCGCAACGATCACGGGTGTGTAGCTCAGTGGTAGAGCGGCTGACTGCAGATCAGCAGGTCCTCGGTTCAAATCCGGGCGCGCCCTGTATCAATATCGTCAAACATCTGTTCCAACCATCCTGTGGCTTGGCTGGGGTTACAAGCACGTGAATTTGTGCAACGATCACGGGTGTGTAGCTCAGTGGTAGAGCGGCTGACTGCAGATCAGCAGGTCCTCGGTTCAAATCCGGGCGCGCCCTGTATAAGTATCGTCAAACATCTGTTGCAACCATCCTGTGGCTTGGCTGGGGTTACAAGCACGTGAATTTCCGCAACGATCACGGGTGTGTAGCTCAGTGGTAGAGCGGCTGACTGCAGATCAGCAGGTCCTCGGTTCAAATCCGGGCGAGCCCTGTATAAGTATCGTCAAACATCTGTTGCAACCATCCTGTGGCTTGGCTGGGGTTACAAGCACGTGAATTTGTGCAACGATCACGGGTGTGTAGCTCAGTGGTAGAGCGGCTGACTGCAGATCAGCAGGTCCTCGGTTCAAATCCGGGCGCGCCCTGTATCAATATCGTCAAACATCTGTTCCAACCATCCTGTGGCTTGGCTGGGGTTACAAGCACGTGAATTTGTGCAACGATCACGGGTGTGTAGCTCAGTGGTAGAGCGGCTGACTGCAGATCAGCAGGTCCTCGGTTCAAGTCCGGGCGCGCCCTGTATCAATATCGTCAAACATCTGTTCCAACCATCCTGTGGCTTGGCTGGGGTTACAAGCACGTGAATTTTCGTAAAGATCACGGGTGTGTAGCTCAGTGGTAGAGCGGCTGACTGCAGATCAGCAGGTCCTCGGTTTAAATCCGGGCGCGCCCTGTATAAATATCGCCAAACATCTGTTCCAACCATCCTGTGGCTTGGCTGGGGTTACAAGCACGTGAATTTGCGCAACGATCACGGGTGTGTAGCTCAGTGGTAGAGCGGCTGACTGCAGATCAGCAGGTCCTCGGTTCAAATCCGGGCGCGCCCTGTATCAATATCGTCAAACATCTGTTCCAACCATCCTGTGGCTTGGCTGGGGTTACAAGCACGTGAATTTTCGTAAAGATCACGGGTGTGTAGCTCAGTGGTAGAGCGGCTGACTGCAGATCAGCAGGTCCTCGG